TAATATGGAAAAATCATTTCATTCATTATTTTTGACGACATCCAAACCTATGATTCGCGACCCCCAGGTTGAAAACCACTGGCCTATACGTTTTACATACCGTCCAATGTTGACCAGAGCCGCCCGATCGTACCGCGCACGCGAATCGACTGGCCCACAGGTGCACCCAGGGCTTATTCTAAAGCGCAGTTGAGCTTATTTTGCGAAAAGCTAGATGCGCACTTGATAATAAACTTTTGCGTAATTGATTTTTAATTGAACGCTGTTTAGTTTTATTTTATGCATTACATTATAATTTACGAACAAAGTGAAAAGGATATTTATTAAAAAAAATACTTGGAACACGATTGTAAATTGTTTTATATCTTTTAAATAGATTACATTTTCAATTACTTCACCTTAATGCTATAAATCTTATAATTTTTAACTATAATTTGATGGTACATTTTGAGATCAGAGTTCTCTGTTTCGATAGGATTATTTGAAAAAAATGCGCAGTTGATAAAAAAATCCTTGGAATAATCCCTGGGTGTACGTTCACGGAGTGCCGACTTGGGCCAAACCGTACGGTGAGACGACCGGACGACCGGTCGAATCTTACCACATTGTACCCCATTTTTTTTGCCGTTTTCGGTCGATTCGTTGTTCGAACATTCTCGGGCGTACCGTTGTGCAATATTGGATAGAACGGTCGTAGCTGTTTTACGTGCGAACGTAAGATCCGCCCTGCTGCACACGTGTTCCGTCGTTGATAATAAGGTACGAGGGGAAACCGATACAACGAAATCGGTAAACCTGGTATTGGAATCGTGTAACATCGTAATGCACTCTCTTCGAAATCGGTAAAATTAAGCGTATCGTCACTTCACCAGTGTAAATCATTCGTATACAGGTAAATGATAATAAATCTCGCACGTACGAGTAGTACTGTCATGGAAACTTTTCTTTTTTTTTTTTTTTTTTTAACGCTGTACTTTCGGTAAACCGTAATCATTTTTATCGTACCTACGTGTCGTACATATAATTTAACCTTCTCCTCGTAGACAGATTACGAAATAATAGTGCACGGACAGTAATTAATGTTTTAACTCCATCGGCGGCGGCGGTGGCGGCGGCATAGACGCAGCTTCCATATTTGACCCGGTCCACCTCTGGAAGATCTGACCGGACCGCAAACGTTGTATAGGTCTATATTAAAATTTATAAACTGTTGTTTAAGATATTTTCGATAACGAATATGATTATTGGACGGCTTGCAAGAGCGACGCAATGTTAAACAATGTAGCATATAACGTCGAACAGTATAATACTACGCTACTGTGTTATAATAATAATACGACACGCCGGTTATTTTTTTACATTTGATATTCGAATAGAGCGGACAATAGAATACATGGGCTCGTACAATGTACTATTTATTCATTAGTCTTTTCTTACGTGAAAATAATGACCCCACTTTTACGCAACAAATTTTCTCACATCAACAGGCCTATCGATCATATTCCGTCTGACAGTCGTCCACGTTTCACAAACTGTGCGTACAATAAGTTCAATTTATTCAAAACCATCCGTAGTATTCGTATTACGTGGAGTGGTAAACATTATATTTTTCTTATATATCTAACCAATAAGGGCATTGTTGTCGGGTTATTTTCTTAGTAAATATTACATAACACGTGTCGGATAAAATCAATATAATTTTAATTCGACATATGAAAATATGATATATATATATATATATATTTATTGTTTTTTTACACGGCGTTTATAACACTATTGGTACATTATATTTAAAGTAAAGCGAGTTCTAATAAGATTTCATCGACGTCCAATAACTGTTGTAATGTTTTATGCAATAATAAACTAACTGCGTTCCTACAATAGTACCGTACGAGTTCAGTATGGTGAATTATAATGATTGATTGGTTACTATAGTAATTATAATTACATTTTTATAATCTGTTATTTACGTTATTGAATTGGTCTCGACGAATAAATTACAACTAAATCAGATCTTATCGTGACAAGAGAAAAACTAGTAAAGCTATATTGTTCGGTATAACGGTAATACATTTGAAATGTAATCGTGTTTTTGATTTTTAAACAAAAATACTATCATATATATTTACGCAATATTATGTAAACGTATCATTTTATGGTCAGTGAGTTTCTGAATATGTATATTAACGCCGAAATAATACACCTAATTACAAAGTATTATAATAGATATCGAAAAACTACCGGGATGTCGGTACTGATTCTGTAGGTGTTATACAGTGGCGATTCCTTGTACTTTGATATCGCTTTACGTTTTATTTGTTTGCTAGGATGTACAGTAGCTAATCATTTGCTCTGCAAAATTTTCAAATTACAACGTAAAACCGTCATTTTTAATAATGCGTATATATATATATATACGTGTGAACACAATTACACACACTTATATGTATACTTATAGTCCATCATTGATTCGCATTTAACATCAAAATGATTTACGATTCGGCGAACTTAGGGGTTGTAATCGTAATAAATATATATATATACATATAAACCCCCAAGGGTGAGGGTAACTTGGTTATTCGGTAGTCATAACAGTGTTTATTCACGCCACTTATATACGGAAATCCCGCAAACGTCGGCAATCGAATTACGTTTTGTTTTAGCCATCATCTAATCGTTTCAATTATCCTTTTTTTTCTCCTAAGGAACCTTTTTGTTAATTTCGGCCGGTCCGCCGTCCTATGAGGTACCTACCTAACTATATACACGGTCGGCGGCAGTAACGGCGGCGTCGACGACGGCAACGGACGGTGAGAAACTCACTCCGATTTATCTGGCGGTATATATAAAAACACGATTATGATAAATCGACTCGGTCAAACCCTCAACGGAATGTCAAACACAAATTGATGAGTTATTCGTCTGGGAAAAACAATACCACGCTAATAATTGGTAAGTATACGAGATGTACTTCTCGTATATAAAATATAACAATCAAAATATTACTTTGCAAAGTTTGTAAGCGCATGTTTTACCAAAGCAAACGTTTAAAAATAATACTACGCGTCCACACGAATTATGGAACTCTTACACAAAATATGCGTGTTTGTTTAAAAACAAAATTTTACTATAATAGTAGACGACTAAGTCAACATATACAATAATTATACTAATAATAACATTAACAGAAGTTTCGGAAAATATACCCGAAATGTGCTGATGTTCTTGTGTTCAAATGAAACGAATGGTCTAACATATTTTCAAAACGAATGTATAAATTAAAATTATTTCAACGTTCACGTTCCTAGGAAATGTCGTGTTTACTTGACATATTATTATTACGATCGTTAGTTGTTTATGAATGTATGACGCATTTTATGTGTAATAATATTTCGTGTAAAGTTCTAATATAAAAAAATAATAATAATAATAATTTGAGAACGGCCATTCTTTGAGGGTACAGTGTTTATGCGAAAAGTTTATACCACATAGAGTACGAGTATGTAGGATTTTATTAAAAAAAAAAACGGCGGTTTTCTCTCCCCTTTAGTGATTCAAAGACACGATATAAACGGGGTGAATTTAAATTTATAAAGTGATAAATGAAGTAACACGTGTATAAGTAGTCGTAAAAACTTTTGATGTGTTCTCAGTAAATATGTGCTTATCGACCGAATGGTCAAAATTTAACGTTTTAACGTGAGATATTAACTAAAACATAAGCAATATCCGGTTTACTTAATTTTAGTGTACATTTAATGAAATATCAGTACTGTTGCAGGATAATGTTCTGCAACAGGATTATAAATGGTTTTGAAGCGATTTCAATGCTATTAAAAAAAAATATTCTCATATAGATAAGTATAGTTGGAAACATGTTAATATATATTTACTAGAAATGAGTATTTTGTTTTAAACACCACAATATCATACAGCATAGGTATCGGTATACTTTCAAAATATTTGAGTTCGAATTTAAATAACTCGAAAATAATAGTCACTGTATATATTCAAGCCCTTTCACACAATAGAATTTAATTTTTTTTATTAAGATTTAGTAATTTGTAATAAATATTAATTAAATTCGGTATTGTATATTTGTATATTGCAGTACTATTAATTGGTAATACAGTTTTTTATGACTGTCGTTTTTTTCTAAAATATGTTTTATTAATAAAATAGAAGGATTTCAATTTTATTCCAAGTTTAATATACATTTTTTCGGCATACGCAATAAAAAAGTTATTTTGTTTATTATTTGATGTCCTTAAAAAAAAAAAAAAAAAACGAACTAACACGTTGTGACTCCTATCAACTTGATGCTCCGGGCTACAGCTCTCCTAGTCCCCCTCAATTCAGTTCTGTATACGGTTTACGTGCATAAGATAAAAGTTTTTCATTTCATATTATTATAGTGTAATGCACGTGAAAATAACACAAATAATGTGTCTCAACTCAGAACAGACTGTTTTATTTCATATTGAACAACAAAATACATAGTATTAGTCGTTGGTGACACGACGATTAGTGAAACGATATATTTTTATTATTGTGCTCTTCTACGGTACCGTAGTGCCACTCGTCAAAACAGAATGTACAACCGTATAACAACGTTTCGCGATTTATTATTTCCAAAGTTCGCGTATGCATATCAAGCACTCGCTCGTCATCGTATGTCCTACTTTTATCAAACCGAGTGTCAGAACTTGAAGCTGTGAAAAATGTCGAACACTACTACGAATTCAATACTATTTTGAACGTTTCAAGTCGCCCAATTGGTTGCATTAAAAACGTTTAAAAACAGGTACTTAATCATCGGCGTAGTTATAGGAGAACCGAGTTTGTGCGTCTTCTATTTAAGTCTAAGTATTACCTATCAAACTTTTAAAACCGTTTGCGGAGAGTATAATTACGATAAAATAAGAAATGAATATTTTTATAGAACCAAGTTTTATAGGAAATATTCGTGACTGTAATATGTATGGACAAACGACACTTACCTTGATGGTTATTCTTCCTCGTGGTCTTTTTCTCCTTCATCCAAGGATACTCTTGCTGTCCACCACCTCCACCGGCACCACCACCTCCGACGCCGCCACCACCGCCGCCCTGTTGGTCCGTTTGCATCTGATACATGGCGGCGGCAGCGGCCGCGGCCGCGGCGGCCTGATGGTGCTGCTGTTGGTGTTGCTGGTCGACGGGCGACACATTCTCGTTACCGCCACCGGCACCCATAACATGGTGCATCATGTAGTCCGGAACGGGGGTGGGCTGGTAGTCGGCCGCGTGGTGGTCCATCTGCGGCCCGGCCGCAGACACGGCAGCCATCCAAAACCCGTTGCCGTCCTGCAGCCCAGCCGCGGCCGCGGGTGAGTCCTTCATGGCCATGGCCGCGTACATGTCATCCTTGCGGTCGCCGCCGCAGTCGTCCTCGTCGTCATCGTCGTCGGCGGCCGTGGCCGCGTGCAACGCATCGGCCAACATTTGCGGGCCGCCGAACGCGCCCAACATGAGCTGCTGCTGTTTGCCGGGTCGCAGGTCAGCCTCGGCGTTTTTCAGCATCATTTTACCGAACCGTGGGCGACACGGATCTCGTTCGCCGCTGCAGACCGTACGCGGGTACGCACCGCACCGTCCCGCCGACGAATGTACTAAATATTAATCGTTCAACGGTTTTTCGCGCAACCGGTCGACACGGCCGTGTGCACTGCGACCCGACGAGACCGTAGTCGCGCGATCGAGAGTCTCCTCCGCCCGTGTACCTGTGCGGTTGTCGTACGGCGAAACGACGGCGGTGACTTTCGCGAAGGGCCGACGAAGGAAAGCGGACGGGTAGGAAGCGGGAAAAAGAGAGGAAAAGAAAAACACTTGTACGCACATACACACGCGCGGTCGACGGTTACGCGGTTTGATCGGCGGCACACTCGCGTACAACGGTGATGAGATGAACAACGACGGCGGCGTTCAGTAGTGGACCGCAACAGCAGTAGTGGTCGAACGTGGTCCGCCGACTGTCGGCCATCGGACGCGGATCCTCGTCTCGTCCCGGGTGCGCTGGCTGTGGTGGTCGTGGTCGCGCGGTCGTCTCTCGCGTCTTTCTCTTCCGGGTGCAGCGTGTGCGTGGTGGTCGCGCGGCGTGTGCACGAAGAGAGCGGATACTACGTCGAGACGATGGCGCGCGACGGACCGATTTTCATTTCCCCGCGACCCCCACCGCCGCCGTCGCGCGCAGCAATCCGCGTGGCCGTACGCGGTGCGCCTGCGCCACGACGGGGCCGCCTTTTCACCACCGCCGCCGCCGCCGCCGCCGCTGTCAGTCACCGCCACCACTGCCGCCGCCGCCGCCGCACGGCAGCCGCAGCCGATGATTTTTCCCGCGCACCACCTGTCAATCATTACACACGTACATACACGCTCGCTTTTTACTCTGCACACGAACGCACACACGCTTACCGTGCCGCACGTTATCTTTCGTCGTCGTGTCAACCCCTGCTGCTCAGACGCGCGTTCCCGCCCGTACGGTCCGTCCCCCTCCCCGACAACTCGGTCGTATTACATTTTTATCCGCATATGTATTTTTCGACGTGTACGTACGACGTAGGATTTGATATAATTCCGGATGTGATGCAAAGTGAAGTTACAGTATGATATTATTGGACCGTCGACCAACAATGTACAGCAAAAGCTTTGCTCGCTGACTGTTTCGTTATTTTCAAAAAAAAAAAAAAAAAAAAAAACATATACCTACGTTCGAGTAGGTACCTATTATAAGTATTATAATATAATACTTATTGTAACATAATATAATTATTCGCAATCGAACCGAAATTCTATGACGTTTTGCCCGTCTACGATTAGCCGACTTGTCCATGAATCTTAAACGCGGAATTTTGACACGAATGCGCTCGAATATCTAAGGATGAAGAAGCAAGAGGCTCGAGTGGTTTTGGAATACTTTTTATTCTAATGAACAACTTTTCGGAACTATGATACAAGTGGGAACGCAGTAAACTAACCTTTAATTTTAGCTTGCCATTGAAATGTTTAATTCTGATTTAAGATAGCTTTATGAAATCCACAAATACATAAATTGATTCATTGTTTTATTATCTCGGCGAATTATTATTTTGATAGGTAGTCAATTTCATAAGGTTGAGTTGATAATAATTTAAAAATAATTGTTTGATTTGCATCGTCTTACGTGTTGAATTAAAAAGTATAGTATTTTTATACTTTCTATGAAAGTGTCCGTTGAATTTATTTGCATGGTATAACGGAATGATGGATATAATAAGACTTCACGAATAAAACTTTAAATAATCTTACAAACAGAAGACAGTTTTTGAATTCTCAATAAGAGTTACGTAACTTCCGCTTTTCCCAAATCGAATATTGCGTGCACAAACTTATTAATTTTCAGTGACAATTTCGCTAGGCTCAATCTCCGTGGACTTAATGATAGTCTGTTTTGAACAAATTTACTTTTATCTAGTACAATAGATAGGTGTAAATAATAATTTGGGACAGGAGTACAGAATAGTAGGGTGAATCAAGTACAATTTCTATTTCAGACAGGTACCGAGTATCAAAGTATTTTGAAAATTCCATTGAACCTACTCATTATTTGGTACTTATAAAATACAGGTGTATTATATCTTGATCGTACATATATAAGTACAACTATTCGTAGTTAGGAGCTCAGCTTTATAGAGTCCCAATCATGATATCGGAAGCGAACAAATCATCTTAAATAATTATATATATTATTTATACCATTCTACCAACCCTTAATTAAATTTTTTATTATGTGTTTCATTTTAAAGTATCATACAAACACGTACGAAAATAATTTTAAATAGACTTTAAAAAAAAAATTGAAAGAACTAAGCACTCAAAGCCCTTCTTTTGTAACGCCTATAAATATTTATATGAGAAACGAACAAGTATTCATATTATTATATTCGACATCTGCATAGCGGCACGGAACATTATAATTGCGTTGTTTCCTAAATTATATGACATATATGTATGGTGCGTAGGCGAGGGAGGTAAATAATGTAACCTGTATATGAAGTATACATTTAAATGTATTAACAAAACCATTATTTATTTCTTAAACAAATGTTATAAATAAACTATTCATTCGGTAATTTAAAAATTATTTAGAAGACAATTTATAAAATAATTTAATTGTACCTATTTTCATTCGAATCGATTTTTAAAATTCAAATAAAATTTAAACTTATTAAAATTATAAAAAATATTGGTCAATTCATAGTTGAAGAAAACCATTACCTGCCATAATCACTAACAAGTAACGAAATCAATTAAGACGTTAATATAATTAACGAAAGTGTTTATTTTAACTCTTTGTCAGTGTGAAATCATAATTAAAAATTTGAATTTTTCCGTGTATAAAATAACGTGTAATTTTCATACCGTATCGCTTTATTTTAGACAAATTAAAATTCAGTTTAAATTATCAAATATTTTTTAACAAAATTCTGTTAGAACATTATTTCACTGTGATAGCTTGTATTCGTAAAAATATTCTATAATATAAAAATAATATTTTTAGTCCAGCACGGTGCATGATTTATATATTATTTACGAGAAAATTAATATTCGTAAAAATTTAAATTATTTTCCGTTTGCAGTCGCGGACAAATAAGTTTTCATTACATACCTTTACGGTTTATACTGTAAATACCTCGTGCTACCTATAACATACGGTTACAGTTATAACTGTAGTTCATTCTATATCACGTTAAACGGAAATTGTTATTATTTACCATGGAAAGTAATCGACGAACTTTCTATGGACCTGTACGTTGTACGTACGTATATTTTATTACCTAGTTAATTACAGAATTGTTTTCGCATAATCAAGTGATTATAAATACTGTAACGTATAATGTGACGTAAACTGGGTGGTGCAAATGTAAGTTTTTACACCACCAGAAAATCATTAAAATTGGTATAACTATAATATTATCTTCAAGAACCAAGGAAACCAGCATACTAAAAAAAAAAAAATATTTGATTGTTATTTTACTAATATTATAATAATAAATGTTTTACTGCTAAAAAAATTCAAAATGTATTTATTATTCAAAGAAATATATAGTTTATTGGGAAGGATTTTACTTAGAAAGTTGGAAAATTGGTGTGTTGGAATTCCATATAATTTAAATTATATGTTGATAAAATATGCCTTTGCACCACCAAGTGGCACACGGTAGCGGTTTTAATAAAAATATTATTTCGTGATTATTTTACACACGTTAAAAATATTTTACTTCACGGAATGCATATGTGTAACGCGTACTAACGAAACGCTGTATATTTTTTTTTACGAAAATCTACACGTGCACGGTATTGGGACGATGCGAAAACCGTTTTGAAAATTTGACCCCGTTGACGAAGTTGGTTCATAATAAAATGACACCTATACGCGTGTATTGTGATTACGTAGCGTTTCTGGACTCGACGGAAATTCAAAACTCGAGTACAACAAAACAGTTACTCCACGAGATCGACGGATGTACGGGAAAATGGCACTTTGTTCCGAATCCCGTGACGTTACGATGTACGCCTCGGACGTGTCTCGGACACTCAGACACTCGGAGTATGAAAAACGACGGTGAGGACAGGAGTGGCTGGGAGTGTAAGGACGAAGGACGGCGGTCGGAAACTAATATTCTGCCTCGCGTCGACGACGACGATTGTAATCATGATAATGAGGCAAATCGGTTGTCGTTGTTCGTTTGTTTTTCGTATTTTTCTATGCTCTCAGCCGCTGACCCTTTACAATACGAAGAGAAAAAAAAAATGATAAAGAAATATAAAAAAAAAAAAACCGACACAGTGGTCGGGGGCAACGAACACGCACAGGTGACGCGTGTGCGTGCGGGCGCGTTTGTGTGTGTATAAGAGTGTGTGCGTGGGAGCGTATGTGCGTGCGTGGGCCGGTGGGAGGAGGGCCGCGCGGGGTCGGACCGACCAGCCAATCGGCGACACACGGTCCGACTGCAAACCACTCCTCCGCCGCGTCGTTCGTCCGTTTCGGTTCCGATTGCGCGTTCCTATGGAGCACAGACCGCCGCTACCGCCGCCGCCGCCGCAGAGAGCGCGTTGTAACGGTCGGTTACGGTTCTCGCGAACTCGCTCGTGCTGCAAAGGATCCGAGTACGCGGCACCGTCGTAAAACCGTAACGATTACGATACAGTAAAACCTGTGTAATATGGAAACGGTTGGGACCGGATATTTTTTCCATTTTTTAGACAGGTTTTCGTTTAGTCTAAAACATTTATTTGTGGACGTCATATTGAATACACACGGCTATACGCAGTCCGCGTCATAACACTACTACCACACTTATCGATAAAATAAATTTATTGCAACCAAATAATTTATACAATTGAAATGGATTATATTCATTGACTGATCATTTTAAAATACGTGTACATATTTCCATGATGTACAGGTACACGACAAAATATCGTTTCCCTTTGCCACGTTAAACAGGTTCCATCTTATTCAGGGAACGATGTATTTAAAAATACATTAGGTTCGCCGGGACTGTAACATTTTTCCATAAAAGTTAGGTTTCCACGCTATTCAGGTTAGGTTATTCCATATTACACGGGTTTTACTGTATTTAAATCGTTACGACTGCCGAACCGTTGTTATCCGTGTGCACATCCTCGCGGGTACCGTAAGCTGTGCGTGTGATGAGGGGAGGGGGCCCTTGAAATCTTAACAGTTATATACTCGAGTTTTTGTTCAATAACAATATGGCAAATGAATTTGTGTTGTAATGTCAGACGTGTTATAACTCGTATAACTTAGCACTAATAAAATTCCTTAGATTCTAAAACATTTCTTTTTACAGTATATATAGCACTTACATATACACTGTTTACCCTCCGAGTCCCTACACATTAAAGAACAAATTAATTATGACTTTTCGTATTTTGTTTCATTAAAAAAATATTCCCAATTTTATTCAAATTTAGCAAATAGTACCTTTAAGTGCTTATGTATATACGCAATATATTAAAACATGCATAATTTCACTTATAAAATTATATACATTAACACTCGTATCCAATTAAACGCATAATTATAAAGGTTTTTGTCATAAATATATTAATACATTGACTACACATTATAGAT